CATACTTTTGCATAGAATAAAGTTATTACTTGTTGTATAGTTGACTTGAACTGTTATGAACCCACCCACGAATCAGAAATATCACAGGTTTTTCGATCGACTACGTTAACATGAACGACGCCATTTTGACAAGATTTGTTTAGCGATGTCAGCATGTTGGCACGCGAAGTTTTTTCCCTATTAAAACGAGAAAATGAACATAATTCCCGATATTAATCTTTGCATTACAGGAACTGGATGTTTATGAGTTGGTGGGCTGGTTGTGATGCCTATCAGGGTTCAAAAAACCCAAATTTCATAGTGATAATTTTGTTTACATGTTTGTCTACGTTGTGGTTGCCCGAATTTGAAGTGAAAGTGAAGTCATACAATGAGGTATCGCTTTGCATGACGGTAAATATCCCGATTTTAATGAATATTTTGACGGTACTGTAATCTGTCTGACTTCCTGACTCCCTCAGCCCGGGTGTGAACAGTTTGTTTACCCGCACCGCGGTTCGAGACAAAAGAACGCTAGTCGTTTCTAGACCGGGGATAGAGGGACTGTGGTATACCATTTTATTTTCATGTAGTCTTATTTTAATATGTAGTCTTTTCAATTTATGACCTGCATTGAATTTAATTTTTTTTTGTTAACTTTTACTTTCTCAATTTGAATAATTTCAAACTGTACACATCTTGAGACACATTCACCTGGCGAGGATAGGATTGAAGCGCCTGTGGGATGTACCCGGTACTGCTCACTGCGGCTATGCTCACCCCAGCTGACTGTTTAGCCCCCAGTACATGCTTTCTTTAAAACGAGTTTATTCAGCACTCACCGATTTTTCCAGGCTGATATTCTCTTCAATGCTCGCTGCTTCAATTGTGCATCGTTAGAATACAATGCTTTGTATACGTATTCCCATTCTTTCATATTTATCCATCCCACAACACGGATTTCATCTTGATCCATGCTTCTTGTGTGGGTGGCCATCTTGAATGCACTACGCCCTCACACGAACAAAAATTTGATACTTTCGAAAACTTTACTTTTATACCAGTGAATCATTTTTACCAAAAAATGTAATTGACATATAATATGTAAAATTAATTTCCGATTACCTTGTTTCTTTTCGTTTTAGTATTATTTATCACAACTTATCTGATAGAAACATTGCATCTCTAAGGATCCAGAAAAAATTAATTTTCTGGCAAAACACTTGTTATGATGCAATGTAAAAGTACATATTAGAGCCAGTTGTGAATTGGCAGAATTGTGACAAATTTGAGCCTGTCTTCAATCACTAATTTTGCAGGTAAAGTTGTAACTATTGATGCGTTCAATCTGTCAGAGATATTGCACCAGAACAGTAATAATTTAACTTTTGTGAATTTAAAGGGCAGCCACACATGCGCGAGATATATGGGTCTCATATAACCAAAAATGGCGACTTTGACTGTTGTGCAGATCAACGAGTACAAACTGAGACGTTACCAAGCTTTAATTAGGTTTTTTAGGTGATTTAAAGGTATAGAAGGAGTCACAGGCGGTAATTAGTGCAAGCGCAGGCCAAACCTCATACTTGTGATTTCCATTAAATGAGTGCAATGATTTGTGGGAATATCTGTTTATCAACACAAATGTCGTACATGGTAAAATGGTAAAACACAGACAACACTCGACATCACCCCTCCACCCCCAAGGATGGAGATTTTCTCCAAACTGAGAGGTACCACTGTATCAGAAGAAAAACTAGAGCCTCCATCAAGACCCTTAACCCTTGTTTGCATATTTCATAAGGTCTTGGCAGATTTTTAAAACAACTTAAAAATTGTTATTTTTACGATTTTTACGAAAATTACCTGTGTGTGAAAAAAATTAACTACAGTATTTTTGTTCCTACAGGTAAAAATTTGAAAATTTCGCTCCTAAGTTTACAAGATCCCATTTAATGAGATTGATCTATTAATAATCACAATAATCACATGTACATTAATAAATTTAATTATTTATTTATTTATTTATGTTTGTTTTTTGAATTAAAGCATAATAATATTTATTCACTGTAAATTGGCATCCACTAATAAACCATCTACATATACTGGTATATCTGTACAATACATATGATAAATATAACTGTGCTAAGACATTCAGAATTTAGGTTTGACTGTAGGTCAAGTCAACTTACTGGTTTCTGAAATATTAAGGCCAACCTTGGATCATAACAGTGCTCTTAAAAGAATTTATCAGTAATATTATGCCCTCAAGCAGCACAAATTCAATTTCCTTTGTTTTTATCTATTTCATACTTGCAAATTGTTTCTCTCTTTGTTTTAAATAACTAAACTCAGTATTAACTATGCAGAGAATTTAGAATAGCACTATGAGTTCAGATGTATGAGTACTATTTTGCCCATAAACTTATTTAGAGTGAAAAGTAATAAATATTGCATATGCCACCTTACATTCCATGTATCAACCTTGTACAACAAAACAATGGTTTCCATTGTGTTACAGATTGAAATATCCATCTCATGAAAATATATTAGGGTATACACAATAATTACAACTCGGTATTCTTTTCAACTCCCATGACTGCACATGACAAGGTTAAGTTCATTTGAGTGTATGTTTCAAAACAAAATAACAGCAAAAATAATTTTTTGCTCAAAAAAATAAGCTGCATGGTATCATCATACAAGCATTAATATTGTTTGGAAATCCAATCCATGAAGCTAATCTGACAGAGATCCTGGTTGTCGGTGGATAATCACAATGCCAGGTATTTCCATGACGATGATTCACATTGCCATTGTATATGCTCTAGTTGTCGCATCATCGACGTGTTCATATGATTGTTGTTTCAGTCTGTGATTCTGCATTACGTTGTCAGGAACATGGAGGGTCGGTAAAATATTACAGTTCATAACAATATCTACTTTGTTTTTCAGTGATTGGAGATCGGATGAGAGTACACGGAGATTATGTGATACGTCCTACAGGGTGGAGAAAATATGAAATATTACAAAAAAAAATAGATTTAATTACGAGGAGAAATTTAAATGTCTCCATTATATCATTCACATGTTTTTTATGTCATGATTTTTATGGAAAAGCAAAAATCATGGAATTCAAAACATGCAATCATTTTATGTTGCCAAATTGGGTAGTTGATGTTTGTGTCTTTGTTAATTGTTTTTATTAAGAGCAGCACATACGCAAATTAGCATTACAGTAATAAAGATGGAGTCATTTTCAGTTTTGATTTTGGTTGATTTCATGTGAAACTGTGAAATTACACTGTTTGCAAAATTGTCAAATAAAATACTTGTGAAATTAAACATTTTACAGAATGTTTATCTGCTAAAAAATATTGAGCAAAAAATGCGAGTATGTCCTGGTACTAAATTGGGATTTTAGTATGGTAATACATAAAGGGGGGCTTTGGATTGGTTCACAGCAAACAACAACTACAGAACTGTACACAAAAACATCTGGCATAGTAATTCATACCATACCATGTCAGGCTGGATAGCAACCTACAGTCAATGTACAATTTGGACACTGTTGTGCAATCCACTGTATAAGATAAGTAATTCATGCCATTTTACTATTGCATAGTGGTGCATATAACGTACCTGAATATACATCTGTGACTTTGCTAGTTGCTGTGTTGTATTATTGATGTCTCTAGTACCAGACTGGTATGTATGATTCACCGCTGACTCAAGATGATTGCGTAATGCAGCATTTCTCTCTCCTGTTTAGAAACATCAAAATATTTCTTATTAACATTTTCCACATAATTTTACCATTTTTCCCCAAAAATGTTGATCAAGTCCTGCTTGAAAATAATGTATTAAAATTTTGGTTGGAAAATCATGGTGTTAAAAAATTAGGAGTATTTGTCATGAATGTACCAGGAGACTATGTTCCAGACAGCAAGGTAGTAGAACAAACAACAGAATATTCGTGACATCACACATGTGCAGACTCAAAAAATCAAAAGTCTACATCATCACAGTGTACATCTCCAAAAACAAACTTGTGATCACAGGATGTACTACAAAAACTTTCAAGAATGTTTTCAGTTTTAAATACACTGTGAGTACTCTATCTACAGCTACAGTCACAAAGTAGCCATAACAACCACTACGAATCTAAAAACGACAATACATGTGGCTGTGATTTTGAACATTTCTTTTATTTAAATACAACCGCATGAAGATAACCAAATCTTACCAAAATATCATTTTAGAAACAAATGTATGGGCAAAGTGACCCTAGACAAGACTAATATCACATAGAATGTGATATGAAAGGGTCGAGGTGTTGCTATTTTGTGGAAAGTCTCTCAGGATGATAGCATATTTGAAATTTGGTCCAGGTCCCCCAGTAAGTTGTCATCTTGTGCTGTAATCTTTAAAGTTTGCTTGACAAGTTGGATTTCAATAGATGGCGCCCACTAGAGATTCGAACACATCCCTGCGGCCATCTTTTTTCACTTGCAAGTGATTTAATGTACGTCAGTACATAGCGTATATCACAGGTCCTCTACAAGGAGGGACTGTGCGTATATATGGTACTAATACCGTACTATTCTCTCAGTGTTCACATTTCACTGACAGACATTACCAGCTGACAGTAATGACATAGGAAATGCTTTATTAAAAATAAAATAACATTGATAGTTACAGCTATTGCTGCTATAACGTTCATTACCAACATTCTACCCTCAATAGAATATGTTAATTCTTTCTATAATATTCATTGTTATGCTCAGTGAGTTTTATTTCATATCCACAATAACAATAGCATTGTTTTACTTACTTAGTCTTCTATGCAGCAGGCTGCAAGAAAAAAAAAAGTTAATAACATTACATTTGAATCAAATATAAGGTTGTATTGGCTACATATTAAACTATGCTAAATAGTTGAAAACTATGAAAGTTTACAGTCAACATTTGTTGCTGTGTGTACGGTAATGAATGCAGGAAATATCACATTACTGTAAAATACTTTATTTTAGCTGGAATTAATTTTTGCTGAAAAGACTTTTTGGGTGTTCTGTATGGAGTTTATTTTCACTGAATTTTGATGAGTTGAATGTAAAATATAGGAAAATAGGTATATCCGCTGAATTTTATTATCACTGAACCATCCCTTCATTGCAAATAGCAAAAATAAATTTCAAGTGAAAATAAAGTATTTTACAGGAAATCATAATGTAAAATTTATTTTCAGATTTTAATTTTTAAACAAAATAGGGAAATTGAAAACCAACAAATAATTAATAAGTTTACAGTTAGGTGCATCCAATACTTGATACTTTCAAATTAATAACAATATTTGTACAATACAATACAGTAAAGTACATTTGTATTTGCTCCATTTGAAGCTGCATCTGTTGTATTCTAGATTATTAAAATACATGTACAACTTATTTTGACAAACTTCTGTTATTTACATAAATACATGTGCTACCTGTAGAACAAGTACCGGTACAATACTAATCCTTTAACTGAAGTTACCACATGCATAACTTGCATATCACAACAGTGTTACGTAATACAGGGTAAATCAAAAACAGGGTCCATAGCGTTGGGAAAATCCTTTAAAAGTTTTTGGATTTTTTAAGGTCTGAAAGTCTTTGAGTTGTCTTTAAATTACAGGAAAAATAAAAAAATCTTTGAAAAGTCTTTAAATTTCTTAATAGTTAATAGCTCATTTTAGAAAGGCCCGTTTTATCCAGGGAATTACCATATCCTCCAAACTTTGATGAGCTTTGGCGATGATGGTGGCCTGAATTAAGGATCAAAATTTCTTGGGGGGAAAAATGCTAGAAAGTTTGGGAAAAGGTCTGGAAATCATTTGGTTCTTGGTGCTATGGACGTCACATACTGCCAAACTTCTTTTATTGCAATTGCTGCCTGAAGATTGTCCAAGGCTTCCAGGTATATATATATGGTCTGGTAACTAAGGATTGTTGTAACAATTAATGACACATTTTGGCAACCTCGTGTGCTTTTTTCATTCAGTTCCCCCCAAAAATCGGTTGAAATTGAAAAAATAAAGAATTGGAGCACTTATCACAAACATGCAGAAATTGCAAACAACATACATTTGACGTTTGTGTAAATAACACAGGAATGTCAACAAAATTAGCATACAAGGCACATGTAAACATAGACCTTAGACAACTAAAGTCTATGGTCTATGATGTAATGCTATACTTGTATTTGGTGTTATTTCAGCAATAGTTCTACAGTCAACACTTGTTTCACTCGTTGTCGTTTCACTATGTCATACTGTGGAAATATGCATGTGATGAATATATACAAGCCCATGATATTTTTTCTTAAGCTGACGTCAGCATACACTCCTGATTACCACCACAGTCGTATCAATCCTTTCCTGCAGCTCGGATTGATACAAAACTCTGGTGGTAATCCCTCCTGTCTGCTGACGTCAACCTAAGAGAAAATATTGTATGATTATATATAACTACATGTATTTATTTAAACACATCTTTGAATTTAGATGATATTGTCTCAAATTACAACAATTACCGGTATATTTAAAAGTCAAGAATTTAAAATAAGATATTGGTACAATGTAGCATATATAATAAGTATTGCTTACGTGTCATATTTTGAGATTTCTTTTCTTCTTGGTTTTGAATCATCTACAGTTATTTCACTCCCACTACTGCTACCAAATGAAAATGAATCACCGGGTGAACCATGCTTAACTTCAAACATAAGAAAAGTTCATCTGTTAGGAGATACATTGAGTAAACAATCTAAAAATGCATGCACATGTCTTCATGTGTGCCTTGCTGACTGGATATAATGTTGAATTATCTCATTAATATTAACTAGTACTAACGTTGATGTCACAATACCATTTGCGGATTGGTCAATTTGAGTTCTAACATCCATTTTGATTTGAAAAATTGTATATTTATTATGACCACAGATTTATGTCCTTTACTGTGTATACAAATATTATATGTAGTTCTTAGGTCTTGGTTTTTCTGTATTTGTTATCATTGGCAACATCCATCCAATGATAAAAACAACAACGTGTGAAACCATGAGATACACAACTGCAGCTAAATTAAAAAAGACCATGTATACGCTTCAGTAGAAAGCTTTGATGGCCTTCAGAACAGCCAGATAATGTTGTTGGTTTATACTGCTGGGGGCACCCACTACAAGGTTATTTTTGGCGAATAATACTGTTATACAATTTTCTTTCAGACCTAGAGGGAGGCAACAATATTTTAACATCATGCTAGTCTTTTTCCTTACAAAAAAATGCCCCTCCCCCGCCGTCACGAAGAAAACTGTACCTTTCAAAGGCGGAAGTCCTGACCCCGTCTTTACACTATCTTCGTCCTCACTGTCAGTTTCCGACGCTTCACCTGCAACCACTAGACCCACTAGCTGGTGGTGCGAGGTGTTGATTTCCTCCTCAGATTCCGATTCTGACGCCTCTCCTTCGACAACTCGCACAACTTCCTTGGTGGCCATTTTTGTTACCTTTGACCTTTGTTTTTCGACCACCTATCTTTGGCAAAACTATTGTTACATTTTCAAGTTTTTTAAGCATAATACGCAAAGTTATGGGTACAAGACAATCAATATGTATTCATATACACGTTTTAATGGAAGGGTTACAGTGAAAAGCGGTCAAAAGATAGATGGAACGTTATATTTTATCCACAAAAATTATATTTGATAATAATTGGTTACCTGGGTGGCCTATGTGACTTCCTTTCGGTCTTTCCACTCACGAAATAAACGTAATCTAAAACGTTGTGGTGGCGTTGTTTTTGTTGTTTGTAGCTGTTGATATTGCCAAGATTTTGCAGAAACGATAGTCTTAAATTGTTATCTAACCGAACGGATACAATTCATTTGGACAGAATGAACGGCAAACACAGAGAACGAAGTCCCCACCATAAACAGGTGAGTAGTAGTGTATATTCCGGAAGA